CTGCTGATTTATCCTTCTTCCCCCTCCCCCGCAATCGCTGATCTCTTTATTGTCTCCATAGTTTTGCCTTTTCCAGGATGTTATATAGTTGGAATCATATGGTATGTAATGTTTTCAGAGTGGCCTCTTTCACTTGGTAATATGCACTTAAGGTTCCTCCATGTCTTTTCACGGCTTGATAGCTCATTTCTGTTTAGCACTGAATAGTTTTCATTGTTTGTACCACAGTTTATCCATTCACCTACTGAAGGATATCTTGGTTGCTTCCAACTTTTGGCAATGATGAATAAAGCTCTTATAAATATCCGTGTGAAGGTTTTTGTGTAGATTAAGTTTTCAACTCCTTTGGGTAAATGCCAAGGAGTTCGATTGATGGATCATGTGGTAAGAGTAGGTTTAGTTTTGTAAAAAATCACCAAATTGTCTTCCAAAGTGGCTGTACCATTTTACATTCCCACCAGCAGTGTATGAGAGTTCCTATAGCTCTACATCCTCATCGGCATTTGGTGTTGTCAGTGTTCCAGATTTTGGCCATTCTAATAGGTATGTAGAAGTGTCTTATTATTCTTTTAATTTGCATTTGTCTGATGACGTAGATGTGGAGCATCTTTTCATGTGCTTATTTGCCATCTGTATATCTTCTATGGTGAGGTGGCTGTTAAGGTCTTCGGCCCATTATTTAATCAGATTGTTTTCTTATTGTGTTTTAAGAGTTCTCTTTATATTTTGGATAATAGTCATTTCACAGGTGTGTCTTTGGCAAATATTTTCTCCCAATATGTGGCACGTCTTCTAATTTTCTTGATGTTGTCTTTTGCAGAGCAGAAGTTTTTAATTTGAATGAAATTCAGCTTATCAATTATTTCTTTCATGGATTGTCTTTAGCATTATATCTAAAAGGGCATCACCATATCCAAGATCATCTAGATTTTTTCTGATGTTATCTTTTAGGAATTTTATAGTTTTGTATTTTACATTGAGGTCTATGATCCATTTAATCTTTGTGAAGGGTATAAGGTCTATGTCTAGATTCATTTTTGCATGTGATGTCTAGTTGTTCCAAGAGACTATCTTTGCTCCATTGTATTGCCTTTGCTCCTTTGTCAAAGATCAGTTGACTAATTTATGGAGTCCATTTCTGGGCTTTCTATTCTGTTCCATTGATCTATTTGTTTTTTCTTTCACCAATACCACACTATCTTGATTACTGTAGCTTTATAATAGTCTTGAAATCAGAGCGCATCAGTCCTCCAACTTTGTTTTTCTCCTTCATTGTTGTGTTGGCTATTCTGAGTCTTTTGCCTTTCCATATAAACTTTAGAACCAGTTTGTCAATGTTCATAACATAACTTGCTGGAATTTGATTTGGATTGCTTTGAATCTATAGATCAAGTTGGGAAGAATCTTAGGACAATACTGAGTCTTCTATCCATGAACATGGAATATCTCTCCATTTATTTAGTTCTTTCATTTCATTCATCAGAGATTGGTAGTTTTTGTATAGATCTTGCACATTTTTTGCTAGATTTATACCTATTTCAAGTTTTTAGATGCTAATATAAATGGTATTGTATTTAATTTCAAATTCTACTTGTTCATTATTGGTGTATAGGAAAGCAACTGGTTTTTGTAAATTAACCTTGTGTCCTTGTAACTCTTCTATAATGGCCTATTAGCTCCAGGAGTTTTCTGTCAATTATTTTGGATTTTCTATGTGGATGACATGTCATCTGTGAACAAAGACAGTTTTATGTCTTCCTTCCCAATACGTATACCTTTTATTTCTTTACTTGCCATATTGCATTAGCAAGGACTTATAGTTCAGTGTTGAAAAGGAGTGCTAAGAGAAGAGAAGACATCCTTGCCTTGTACCTGGTCTTAGTGGGAAAGCTTTGAATTTCTCACCATTAAGTATGATGTTAGCTATAGGTTTTTTAGAAATAGTCTTTCTCAAGTTGAAAAAGTTCCACTCTATTCCTAGTTTACTGAGTTTTTATTATAAATGGGTGTTGAATTTTGTCAAATGCTTTTTCTGCATCTGTTGATATGATCGTGAGATTCTTGGTCTGTTTATATGTGGATTACATTAATTGATTTTTGAATGTTGAACTAGCCTTGCATACCTGGGATAAATCCAACTTGATCATGGTGCATAATTCTTCTTATACTTTTTTGGATTTGATTTGCTAATATTTCGTAGAGGATTTTTGCATCTATGTTCATGAGAGATATTGGTCTGTAGTTTTCTTTTCTTGTAATGTATTTGCCTGGTTTTCATATTAGGGTAATGCCGACCTCATAGAATGAGTTAGGAAGTATTTCCTTTGCTTGTATCTTCTGAAAGAGATTTTAGAGAATCGGTACAATTTCTCCCTAAATGTTTGGTAGAATTCATCAGCAGAATCCACCAGTGAACCTATCTGGGACTGTTGCTTTCTGATTTGGAAGGTTATTAATTATTGATTAAGTTTCTTTAATAAATATAGGCCTATTCAGAACACTTATTTATTATGTGAGTTTGGACAGATTTTGTCTTTCAAGGAATTCATCCATTTCATCTAGATTATCAAATTTGTGGGCCTAAAGTTGTTCAAAGTATTCCTTTATTATCCTTTTAACACCTGTGGGATCTATTCCCTCTTTCATTTCTGATATTAGTAACTTTGTATTTTATTTTGTTTCTTAGTTAGCCTGGCTAGAGGGTTATTGATTTTTATTGATCTTACAATTGATCAATAAATTCATTTTTTTCTCTATTGATTTCCTGTTCTCAATTCTATTGATTTCTTCTCTAATTCTTATTATTTCTTTTCTTCTGCTTAATTTTGGATTTAATTTGCTCTCCTTTTTCTTGTTTCCTAAGGTGGAAACTTAGATTATTTATTTTACATCTTTCTTCTTTTCTAATATATGCATTCAATGGTAGAAATTTCTCTTTAAGCGCTGCTCTTTCTGCATCCCACAAATTTTGATAAATCATTCATTTTCATTTAGTTCAAAATATTTTTAAGTTTCTCTTTCTTTTTTGGCAAATGTGTTATTTAAAAGTATGTTATTTAGTCTCCATGTATTGTGGGATTTTCCAGTTATCTGTCTGTTATTGATTTGTACTTTAATTCCATTATGGTCTGAGAGCAGACATTTTATGATATCTATTTTTTAAAATTTGTTAAAGTGTGTTTTATGGCTCAGAATTTGGTCTATCTTGTTGAATGTTCCATGTGTGCTTGAGAAAAATGTGTATTTTGCTGCTGTTGTAGCAAATGTGTATTTGCTATAAAAGTCAATTATATCCAGTTGATTGATGGTGTTGTTGAGTTCAATTATGTCCTTAATGATATTTTTGCCTGCTGGATCTGTCCATTTCTGAGAGCAGGACAATGAAGTCTCCAACTATGATAGTGGATTCGTCTAGTTCTCCTTGCAGTTCTATCAGTTTTTGCCTCATGTAGTTTGATGCTCCGTTGTTAGGCATGTACACATTAAGAATTGTTATGTCTTCTTGGAGAATCAATCTCTTTATTGTTAAGTAACATCCTTCTTTTTCTTTAGTAACTTTCCTTACTTTGAAGTTTGCTCTGTCTAAAATTGATATAGCTATTCCTGCTTTCTTTTGATTTGTATTAGCATGATGTATTTTTCTTCACCCACTTACTTTTGACTTACATGTGTCTTTATATTTAAAATGAGTTTCTTATAGACAACATATAACTGGGTCACATCTTTTGATCCACTTTGACAATCTCTGTCTTCTCATTGATGTATTTAGACCATTGACATTCAAAGTGATCGCTATAGTTGGATTAGTATCTACCATATTCATTTTTGTTTTCTGTTGGTTGCCCTTGTTCCTATTTTTATCTTTCATTCTTTTTCTCCCTTTTATGGCTTTAATTGAGCATTTTATGATTCTATTTTCTCTCCTTTCTTAGCATATCAGTTACATTTATATAATTTTTTTTAGTGGTTGCCCTAGAGTTTGCAATATACATTTACAATTAATCGAGGTCTACTTTCAAATAACACTATACCACCTCACAGATAATGGGAATATCTTTATAAAGATGAAATAATCCTACTTCCTTCCTTTGTATCGTTACTGTCATTCATTTCACTTATATAAGCGTACAGAAGCAAATCTGTGTATATGTGCATATACACACAAATAATTGAATACATTATAGCTGTTATTTAGAACACACTTATCTGTTACATCAATAAGAAATAAGAATGAGAATTTAAAAAATTTTTATTTTACCTTCACTTATTCCTTGTTTGGTACTCTTCTTTACTTTATGTATATTGAGCTTCTGACATATTACTTTCCTTTTCTCTAAAGATCTTTGAACATTTCTTGTAAGGTAAGTCTACTGGCAACAAATTCCTAAATTTTTCTTTGTCTGAGAAAGTCTTTATTCACTTTTGAAGGATAACTTTGCAGGGTACAGAATTCTAGGTTAGTGGTTTTTTTCTCTCAACACTTTAAATAATTCACTCTACTTTCTTCTTGCTTACATGGTTGGTGAAAAGAAGTAGGATGTAATTTTTATCTTTGTTGCTCTGTAGGTAAGGTTTTTTTTTTTTTTTTGCCCTCTTTCTTCTTTCAGGATTTTTTTCTTTCTTTGGTTTTCTGTAATTTGAAAATGGTATGCCTATGTAGAGTTTTGTGGGGTGTTTTTGTTTTTTACATTTATCCTGTTTGGTGTCCTCTGAGTGTCCTGGATCTATAGTTTGGTGTCTGACATTAATTTGGGGAAATCCTCAGTTCTTGTTTCAAATATTTCTTCTGTTTCTTGCTTTTTCTTCTCCTTTTGGTATTCCCATTACATGCATGTTAAACCTTTTTGTAGTTGTTCCACAGTCCTTTGCTCTTCTGTTCTGTTTTTTTGGGTCTTTGTTCTCTTTGCTTTCTGTTTTTTAAGGATTCTGTTGATATATCCTCTTGCTCAGTGATTCTTTCCTCAGCTGTGTCTACTCTACCAATAAGCCCATCAAAGACATTCCTCATTTCTGTTACAGTGTTTTATCTCTAGCATTTCTTTTTGGTTCTTTCTTAGGATTTCTCTCTGCTTACATTGCCCATCTGTTCTTGCATGTTGTCTACTTAATCCATTAGATGCCTTAGCATATTAATCACAGTTGTTTTAAAGTCTTGGTCTGATAATTCCAACATCTCTGCCATGTCTGGTTCTGATGCTTGTTCTGTCTTTTCAAATTATATTTTTTGCCTTTTGGTATACCTTGTAATTTCTTCTTGATAGTTGGGCATGATGTACTGTGTAAAAGGAACTGCTGTAAATAGGCGTTTAGTAGTATGGTGAAGTATGGGGAGAAGTGTTCTATTAGGTTCTCTATTAGGTTCTATTAGGGAAGGTTTGATCAGATCTCAGTCTTTTAGTGAGCCAATGCCTCTGGACATTGAGCTTCACGAGTGTTTCTCAATTTTTTTCTCCCTGCTTACGGGGGACAGGATGGCTAGAGTGGGCTGGAGTTGGGTAGTTCTCTTCCCCAGGTCAATTAGGCTCTGATAATACTCCATCAGGTTAGGCTCTGGTTAACTAGTTAATTAGTTTTTCCTGATGGCAGGCCTTGTTAGGAAGAACAGACTACTCTAGTGTATTTCAAGATGGTTCCTTTTCCCCTCTTCCTGCTGGAAGCCCAAGGGGATTTTCCTCTGATATTTACTGTGAGAATCTAGTCAAGCTCCTGGAGAAGCTCACAATATTCTGTCCCTCACCCTCCAATGACTGGTTCTCCCTGGTCTTTTTAACTCTCAGAGTTGTCCACACTGATCCCCCAGCAATTTGTCAATTACAGTTCAGGTTTTCCTACCATGGCACTGGTTCCTATGATGGTTTCTGCTTGTGAGTCTCTGCTCCAGTAAGTTGTTGTTCTCTGTTTGCCTGTTGGCCTCTCCAGTCTTGGAGGCAGTGGTTTGCTCTGTGTCCTCCTCTGTCATATAGATCCAAGAAGAGTTGTTGACATTTCAGTCTGTTCAGCTTTTTACTTGTTAGGATGGAGTGGTGACTTTCAAGCTCCTCGCATGCAGAACTGGAAACTGAAAGTCAAGTATTTTTTTAAAAGTTAGTTAAATCTGAAAACAGTTCAAGTTACTGTCTGCTAAACATATTGATCTATCTTGTACTTAGAATGGATGTTTTACCTACACGATTTGAGAAAAATTATTCATTAGTCTTTTGTTCAAATTCATTAGTTCTCTGAGTTATGTAAATCATCCAAATGTTGATATGTTTCATTATACAATCTCATCACACACAAATTAACCTCTGGAAAACTTCACTGTATATTCATGAGAGAAGAGAATGGAAACGGTAAGTAATAACATAGTAGTATTATGAAAATAGCTTTGACCTCGTAGGACCTCTGAAATGGTCTTGAGGACCCCAAGGATTTCAAGACCACAGTTTGAGAACCACTTCTCCAGCATCTGCAATGTACATTTTTCTTATTATAGTCTCCTTTAAATATTATATCATATCATATATGATGGAAGTACTTACAACAATATACTTAAATTTCTTCCCAAAATCCTTTGTCCTATTGTTGTCCACATTTTGCATTTACATACACTGTAAGCCCAACAGTATATTATTATTTTTGCTTTAAAATGTCTATCTTTTAAAGAAAATATAAAATAAGGAAAAATTTAAAAATATTTACCCACATATATATCATTTCTGACACTGTTCATATCTTTGTACTGATGTAACTTTTCATTTATATCACTTCCTTTTGCTGAAGGAACTTCCTTAAATATTTCATGCTGTGTAGGGCTGTTAGTCATAAACTTTCTCATCTTTTGCTTTTCTGTAAAAGTCCTCATTTCACCTTCAATTTTGAAACATACTTTTGCTGGGTAAAGAATTCTAGATGATACTTCTGCTTTTTTTTTTGTTGTTGTTGAGGAAGATTCACTCTGAGTTAACATCTGTGCCATTCTTCCTCTATTTTGTGTGTGGATCACCCCCACAGCATGGCTGCCTATGAGTGATGTAGGTCCACAGCCGGGAATTGAACCTGAGCCACTGAGTGGAGCGTGCCAAACTTAAGCACTACACCAGGGGGCCAGCCCCTACTTTTGCTTTTTAATTTTATTGTGGAAAGAACACTTAACATGAGATCTACCCTCTTACCAAATTTTTAAATGTATGATATATTGACTATAGGTACGATGGTACAATGTTGTACAGCAGATCTCTAGAGCTTATTCATCTTGCTTAACTATAACTTTACACCTGTTGATTAGCAACTTCCCATTTCTCCTGCACGCAAGCTCCTAGTAATCACTATTCCATTCTTTGATTCTATGAATTTGACTATTTTAGATACCTCATAAATGTAGTCATGCAGTATTTGTCTCTCTGTGTCTGGCTTATTTCACTTAGTATAATGTGCTCAAAGTTCATCTGTGTTGTTGCATACTGCAGAATTTCCTTCTTTTTAAAGGCTGAATAGTATTCCATTGTATGTATATACCACATGTTCTTTAGTCATTCATCTGTAGCTGGAGACTTAGATTGTTTTCACGTCTTGGCTATTGTGAATAGTGCTGCAATGAGCATGGGAGTACTAACATCTCTGAGATCCTGATTTCAATTCTTTTGGATATATACTCAGAAGTAGGATTACTGGATCATATGGTAGTTCTAGTTTTAATTTTTTGAGGAATCTATCTGCTGTTTTCCATAATGGCTGCACCATTTTGTGTTCTCACCAACAGTGTGCAAGGGTTCCATTTTCTCCACATCCTTGCCATGATCTGTTGTCTTTCTTTTTCTTTATGTACTTTAAAGATTTTATTTATTTTATTTTTCCCCCCAAAGCCCCAGTGGATAGTTGTGTGTCGTAGCTGCACATCCTTCTAGTTGCTGTATGTGGGACTCGGCCTCAGGATGAACGGAGAAGTGGTGCCTCGATGCGCACCCGGGATCCGAACCCGGGCCACCAGCATCGCAGCGCGTGCACTTAACCACCAAGCCACAGGGCCGGCCCATCCTTATGTACTTTAAAGATGTGTCTCTGCTCTTTTCTGGCTGACATAGTTTGATGTGTAGTCTGTTATTTTACCTTTGTTCCTTTGGCTTCTTTTAAGATTTTCTTTTCATAATTGGCTTTCATCAATTTGATTATGATATATGTTGGTGTAATTTTCTTTAGGATTATTCTTCTTGATGTTCATTGAGCTTCCTGCATTTGCGGATTTATGTTTTCATCAAATTTGGAAATATTTTGGCTATTATTTCCTCAAATATTTTTGCTGGTACTCTCCCCTCCCCAGCCCTTTCCTCTTCTTTATTTCTGGAATTCCAATATCATGTCTGGTAGACACGTCATGTTGTCCCACAGGTTTTCTGATGCTCTGTTCATTTTTTTTCTCTTTGTGTTTTATTTTGAATAGTTTCCATTACCATATCTTTAAGTCACTGATTGTCTCTGTTGCATTGTCTAATCTGCTATTAATCCCATTCTGTGTATCTTTTTTTAATTTAGGCTATTGTATTTCTAATTTCTAGAAACTACAGTTGGGTCTTTTACATTTTACATTTCTGTTCTCATTATGCTCGTGGTTTACTCTATATCCTGAACATAGGAAGCATATTTATAATAAGTGTTTTAATTTCCTTGTTTGTTAATCTCTTTCATTTATATGTCTGTCTATGTCTTTTTATATTGATGTTTATCCTAGTTAGTCTCATATTTTCCTGCTTCTTTGAATGCCTCGTAATTTTTTCTTAGATACTAGACACTTAGATTTTTATGTTTTTGGATGCTAAATTTTGTTGGATTACTATATACGTTGTCAGATTTTGTTATGGTATGAAGTTAAATTACTTGGAATTACTTAAATCTTTTGAAGCCTTTAAGGTTTGTTAGGGAAGGTACAAAGATGTCTTCAACCTAGTGGTCATTTACTCCACTACTAAAAGAATACTTTTTGATGACTCTACCCAATGCCTCATGCATTTTGGTGGTTTTCCACTCTGGTTTGCAGGGTCCCCCAAAATTCTCAGTCCTTTGTGAGCTTCAGAAATTATTCTGCCAATTTATTTCCAATGTTACTTTTCCTGGCCTCAAGAGTTTCCTCTCACACATGCACAGATCAGTACTAAGGCAAAGATTTGAGAGGGACCCCTCTGAGGATCTCTAGAGCTCTTCTTATATACAGCTTCTTTTCTGATACTTGGGTCCACAAATCTTAGTCATCTTACCTTCCCCAAACTCTCATATCTTTCTCTTCAACTCAGGAAAACAGTGAGGTTCTTTTGGGTTCCTTCTCACTGCACTATGGCCTGGAAATTGCTTCTGGGCAGTTAACTGCGGCAACTGTAGGGTTTACCTCATTTGTTTCCATCGTCTCAGGAATCACAATCCTGATCTACATGTTGTCCAAAATATGAAAAGTATTTTTTCATATGTTTTATCTAGTTTTTTAGTTATTTAGGCAGGAAGGCAAATTAAGTTCTTATTTTTCTATCATGGCCTGTAGTAGATATTCCATCCTAATTATCTTAATTCTTGCGTTAAAAAAAGCCCATTATAAATGCCATAATTTTATTAATTTTGCTCCAAATGTTGGAGATTTGTTTCCAATTTATCAAAACTCTTGCTTTAATCAAAAAGAATCATTGTACATAAATATTGGATAAAATTTTAAGCACTTTTTATGCTCTTGATACATGTGAAACAAATTGCTTTTTAGAAATCACGTGCCAATTTATAGGAATTCCTACTTATACCAATAGCTAACATTTATAAAGGTATTAATATGCCCCAGGCACTGTTATAAGCATGTTCACAAATACTAATTTGTTTAATCCTCAGGTAGTGAGGCAGACACTATTATTAGAGACCCGTTTTAAAGATGAGGAAAACAAGGCACAAGATTTAAAGACTTAAAACCAAGATTTTAAGTAACAGCTGGTAAATGATGGGTTGAGAACTCAAACACAGGCAATGAGGCTACAGAGTCTCCACTCTTAACTTCCACATTCCATCTCCTTACAAGCATTGTTATCATTTAACATCTTGGCACATACTCAGAAAATGGTATCTCATTCTTTCAGTTTGATTACTGGCAGAATTGAAAATTTTTTTGTATTTCTTAGTCATTTTATTTCTTTTATAAACTACATATTTGTGTCTTTTGCCTGTCTTATCTTTTTAAGTTAGCTGTCCTAAAACAGGAAATCTGAAGAAGACATTATGGGACTATGAACTTCTAGAAATTCGCTGTGTCAGCACTGTAAAAATGACTGAAGATCCCAGACTTTAGGTTTACTCTGCAGATCATGGGTGAAATGCTAGCTTTGGTCACTATAGTCGTATCTATAGTGAAGAAGACCTAACAGTTTCTACTTCTAGGTGGTCACAAGCTTGGGGCGGGGGGCCAGTAGCAAAGAAGAATAAAATGAAGGGTTTTCAAGTGCCCTTAGTTAGTGGCTTCAAAGAGAACTTGAAATAGTATCAAGGGTAGCCAAGACCATTCTTCTTTGAATGAGGAAAACATTTAATTTGAGTATAATTTGGTCAGTAGATAACCAACAACATTCTAAAATTAGTTTTTAAGGCTATATTTATAGTTCAAGATAGTCTTGAAGACAAAGTTAAAGTACTGCAGATTCCTTTCAGTACAAATGACACAAGAAAAGCAAATATTATAAAGCTTTTACATTGTATAGGACTGGAAAAGATACAGTTATAATTCTTAAAGCACTGTCACTATTTTGTAATAGCAAATTGTTATTTCATTAACAAAATAAACTTAAAGTCTCTTCTAAATATATAAATGTGTAGAGTCAGTAATTTTATATGTGATATAAATTTAGTATATAATAATAGAAAAAACAAGTGAGCTGTCTTTTATGGATCTGTATATTCAAGATGGCTCACTATTGATGATTAGGGTAGACTGGCTTACTCAAATATGAATGCCACATCAGCAGTTTAACTCATCACTTATTGAGAATGTACTCTATGCCAAGCAGGATGCTAAGTATTAAGCAATGAACATGAGCATGAATTCTGGAACCCAACCACTAGCCTCAAATCCTATTTGCCACTGTTAGCAATATGACCTAGATCTCTATGCCTCAGTTTCTGTTGGTAAAGTAGTGATGAGCAATGCTGAGGGCTTCCCTGCCCTGGATAACTTGAAACATATATGCTCTCTGATGCTTTTTCAAACTCATAAGAAATAATAGCCATTTCCAAGTAGAAAAGGTATTAAAGTTATACCAGTTTTATAGAATGAATAGAGAAATGCACTCTTTTTCATCTCCCTGGAATAGTTGTGTATGGGGTTGGCTCAGCATATTCCTTGAGTTTGCTGGGACTTTTCTGTAAAATTTTCAAGCCTGGATGCTTACTTTGAGAAAAAAATATCAATTATTGATTCAGTGTCTCCCAAGAACACACTACAGCTGTCAAGTGTCCTAACAATCCCTTACTTTGACTAATTGCTCATTGAGAAACCTTATTTTCCAAAATTATATCAGCAATTTTGCTATTTGAATTTATATCAGTAAGAATTAAACTTAGTTTCATTATGTGTGGTGAGTCAATTTTCTCCTGCTTTCAAGATTTTCTTATTGTCTTTGGCTTTCAATATTTTGACTATTTTTTTAGATTTGGGTCTCTTTGTGTATATCCTACTTGGAGCTGGTTGATCTTGGATGTGTAGATTAATGTTTGTCATCATATTTGGAGAGTTTTCAGTAATTATTTCTTTGAATATTTCTGCCTTCTTCTTCTCTCCTTGTGTTACTCCCATTTATACAGATGCTACTGCTCTTATTTTCTGCGGCTGTGTTTGCATTTTTTGTTTTTTTCTTTCTTTTTCATTCTTTTCTCTTTCTGTTCTCCACATGGGATAATCTCTACTGATTTTTCTTCGAGTTCTCTGATTCTTTCTTCTGCCAGGTCAAACCTACCACTGAGTCCACTCTAGTGAATTTTTCACTTCAGTTATTATACATTTCAACTCCAGAATGTCCATTTGTTTTTTGTAATTTCTATATACTTATTAATTTTCTATATTTGAATCCTACTTTCCTTTCTTTTTTAAGGCATGATTTTCTTTAGTTCTTTGCACATATGTATTAGAGCTTCTTTGAAATATTTGTCTGCTAAGTCCAACATATGGGACCTCTCAAAAATATTATCTATTGCCTATATATCTTTTTCTGTATGTAGGTCACACTTTTTTGTTTCTTTGCTGATCTCATTTTTTCAGGAAAACTACATATTTTATGTAACATTATGTTGTTTGTAGCTTCTGATTTTCATCCTGGGACTTGTTATCGTTGCTTGGTTCTGTTTGTTTAATGGATTGCTTGGATTAATTCTGCGAAGTCTATTTCTCCTGAAGTGTGCAATCTCATCAGTGCTTAGAATTTTTTTCTCTTTTTAAAAAATTTTAAGCTCGGAATCCTAGAAGTTGCTTCTGGGTCAGCATAGGGTAGTCTTCAACCAATGACTGATCTGAGATTCTGATTAAGCCTTCTGAGCCAGTAAGACTTCCATGCACTTTAGGATGATTTCAAA